TATTAATAGTGGTTAAAGTAAAATAAGTTAAAATAACTACAATACTAATATATATATATATATATATATATATATCTCTCTCTCTCTCTCTCTCTCGTTTCTAGATAGCACGCTCAAGCTAAAGTTAGATTGTGGTAGTTTGATTTTTGGGTCGCAAAAGGGAGGATCCCCTTGTTAGTAAATCTCTCTCTCTTTGCTCTATCTCTCATCTCACCAAAGATCAAGCCAAAGGGGCTTGAGCAATACTAAGACATTTAGGCCTTAGGTAGTTGGTTTTAGATCGAGATCCATAGCCATTGATAGGGTTTTGCTATATGTAGGAGAATCAATAGACCGATCATAGATCCCGAGCACCATCAGAAGGAGGATACTCGGTGTGGGGTATACTAAGCCAGGTTGAAGTAATCTCCGGCACTCTCTTTTTGTTTCTTGTCATATTTAATTATATTTTTATATTCACAAGTATAAGAATTGTGGATATTTTCTTTGTTTAAAGAAAATTGGTTTAATGACATCAAGGTTTTTAACATCTTGAATTTGTTAGCTTTATTTTTTTTGAAGCAAGAGTTATTGTAATAAGCCTACTTGTAAGTGATCTTTGTCAAAAGAAAAGAAAAAACAAAGAAAATAGGTGAAAAGAAGAAAAATAAAAAAAAAATATTCCCTGACAAGATTACAATAGTCTTTCTTTCACCATCAAGCATCAAGATGCAGAATGCACAAAAATAAATAAATAAATGCTATTTTTTGCTAATCTTACACTAAACATCAAGATGCAAAAAAAGAATACACAAAAATAAAAGAAAAACTTGCCATTTTTGCCTATTAAATGGAAGAGAAATGGGGTTTGTCGGGCTTCAAGGGAAGAGAGATAGAATTGGGCTTTTGCAGGGAAAGAGAGAGAGAGAGTGTTGGGGTTTTGCAAGAGAAGAGAGAGAAAATTGGGGTTTGACAAGAGAAGATAGAGAGAGAAATATAAAAATCTGCAATCAAAGCTTCGAAGATCGAACAGACGCAAAGCTCGGCCGGCTAGGGTTTCTATGATTAAAGGACAGTTTCTATGAGTCCATATAGAAATATGCCACCTCTTCAAAATCTATTTTTGAGATGGATTTTTGGACCTAATTTTTAAGAACATGTAATCTCTAACATGAGATCATGAATATGAAAAAATAAATAAGTTTTGAAAATTAAAAATAATAGTTCTATTGAGAAAACTTTTGGACTTTTAGTTTTAATTGTTTTTAGATGGACCATCTATTTGCATGCTTTATACCTTGGGGACTGCAAATATAGAAATGCGGTCTCCCCTACATGAAACAATTTTCTTAGATTAAATTGTCTCAAAATATTTGATAAATTTTATTTTAGACTTTGTGCTAATGACACATCTTCACACTACCCGATTTCAAATTTAACAATCAATGATGATCGTGAGGTTATATAAAAAATAAAGTCTCATTATATATATTTCCTTTTACATCATCGAACTAGTGCAAGACAATTGTTTTATAGGAAAATATGTCCTTATTCCTTAATTTTAACTTCTCTATCTTTTTGGAACCAATGATGAAAAATATTTCTCGTAAGCAAAAGACATCTATTTTTCCTATCTTACAACCCCTTGAATCTACCTAAATAAAAATTAAAATGACACCATCACCCCATTGTCAACCTCTGCCCCACCATAACTACCAACCTTCTCTAATGCCTGCAACGAGGTTGCTATCCTCGCTCAGCCACACCACGCCCCTGCAACCACTTCCCCTTCCCTCCTCTGTCCTCATCTTCTCCACTTGCAACCCGCCACCACCTTAATTTCCCCTTTTTCCTCCCTGCAACCAGTCAGCCACCATTTCCGCCTCCTCTGTCCACCATACTCTCCCATATCACCTCGCCACCCTTTTTCTCTCTAGAAGACACCCAACACAGTCACCCCGACATCCTCCCTGTCTCTCTCGTTCTCTTCCTCACCACACCTGCCCAATAGCAGATCTCTCTCTCTCATCATGCTTGCCGAATGGTTGATCTCCTTTTGTAAAATAAGCGGCCCCTCTCTCTTCCAGTCCCGTCCATCCCTCTTGCGTCCCTTTCTCTCTCTCCAATGCAACCCTTTCTATACAGGCTCTCGATTGAATTTGATCAAATTTGCTTCCAAACAAGAATCGGAGTAAAATAAAATAAAAATGAACTTTTAAAAAATAAAATAAGATTTAAAATTCGAAAGAAAATGGATTAAAATATAATTTACAGTTTTTTATATTTTAAAAAACATAAAAAATAATATAGAAGTTATGACACAAAACACTCACCAATCTTTGCTAAAAACATCGATAACTTATAAAAAAAGGTGTGGTTTGTATAGAGCCTAGGCTCTAAACAATGAAATTAGAGCCTACCTTCAAACATTATCGAGAAATGTAGTTTTAAAATCATTGTGATAGCCTAAAAAATACAAAAAAAAGTTTACATAAGGTTGCAACTTTAAAATGTAGAACTACGGATGCACCTCAAAAATCTATCGAGAAAAGTTATTTTAATATTGAAAAACCCTGTGATTGATCATCTCGACATCGAGATGTATGACTATGAAAAATAAAAAGATTTTGAGTCTCAAAAATAGTGCATCTTACAACATATTATCTCCACCGTCCATTTTCAAGATTTTCATATGTTTATAGATCTACTTGATTTTAACCATTTTTTAAATTTAAAATTTTATACTTAGATATAAGAATAGATTTTGAGATAATCCTAAGAACATTTTACATTAAAATTATATATTATGATAAAATTTGTAGTTGGATTGTTTAAGGTTGCAACCTTATGGAAACCACACCCCCTAAAATAGATTTTGATCTTCATTTATAAAGTTTAAAGCTTCAAAAATAGTGTAGATCGATACATGTATGAAAACTTGAAAATCTTAAAAATTAACATACAAAAGTGCATTACAAAATACACTACTTCCAAAACTTGAAATCCATTTTTTCTCATGTCCATACATCTTGATGCCAGGACGATCAATTTGTAGATATTTGGGCATCAAAACAACTTCTTCTAGTGAAACTTTTGATATAGGTTCAAATTTGATTGTTTAGAGCTTCGGCTCCATATAAACTTTCCCGAATAAAATTTATATAACATTTCTACAATCTTTTTTAAAAAAATTATTTTAAATTTTTATATGCCGAGTTATACACAAATAAAAAGTCCGAGTAATTTATGTGCCCTAGTAGACTCGGGTGAGTCGTGTCCCAGAACACTGCTGATAATTGCATAAAAAAAACCAAAAATCTTCCATCACAAAATTTGTTCGCTAATTGTTCTCGATTTGGAAACCATGACCATCTGGATTATCCAAAATCTCAAATTACCTAAATTTTAATTTCCAAAAACTCTCACATTTCCCTTGTATTCCAAAAAAAATCATTAAGATCTTCCTGGAAATATCCAGACTCAAATGATTAAATCAAACCAAATTTGGATTTCCCTCACCATTCCAATTTCAGAAAATGAAACCCAATTCAATCAAACGCTTGGAATAATAATTAACAGAACACATTTTATTGTTTCATTTTCTGACAACTTGGGTGGTTGAAAGGGGCGCGAAAGCCCAACAAAAGTTTCACAAACCTCAACCACACAGTACCAGCCACCAATTCTGAACTTTCCAAGGAGCCAAATCTTCTAATATAGGCTGAGATATGTGAATATTATGAACCATATACTCGGTTCTAATCTCATTCTCTCTAAACTTCAAACAAACAAAAACCACAAAAATACCATGCTCTCTCTAACTTCATCATGCTGGAGTCTGAATACATACTGATCATAAACTAATTCAAGAATTCTTCTTCTGCTCTCAAAAATGAATCAAGACCCTCCTTGGAAGTTACAAACTTCTTCAAAAAAATATGAAAATGGTCATAAATAAGAAAAATGCAAAAGCATCAGTTTCTTCATAACTTAAAAGCATAAAACCAAAAACTGGAAAAAAAAAAAAAGAAGAAAAAAAAAAGGCATTCCTTGACTTACTTTATCTCTTTCCTTTTCCCAGGACTACCAGAAAGCACACCAGAAACAGAAGTCTTCCTTTTCCCAGGACTACCAGAAAGTACACCAGAAACAGAAGTCCCACTTTTTCGTCCAACTGAAGCTCCAGAAGATCCTCCACGAGATTTCTCAGAACCCAAAGATGGGGTTCTGAAACCTTCTTTATTGACCTTTCGATGCTTTGCATCTCCTCGAGAAGATGGTGCTTTCTCCTTATTGGAATTGCCAGCAAAAAAGGCAGAAGATGGGGTTTCATCACTTTTTTTGTGTTTGTGAGCCCTTGATTCTTCTCCTGATGATATCAAACCGACCTTTCGTGAACTTTTTTCCCCACTGGCCAGATATAAACGTTTTGATTCACTCTTCCTTGAATTTTTTTGCCCAATTTTCAGCGACGTGTATGGAGTCCCTGAGAGTACATAGTCATTGAGAGAGAGAGAGGGATTTTGCAGCTGATAAATGAGAATAAAAGAGTTTACATAACATCACTTCAAATGAGTTACAAAATTTGTCTGGTATCCAATGTCCAAAATAAACAGATTAAGATTATATGGCCTCAAAGAAAAAGTATGAATCTGGCTAGTGAAATCCAAATTGGATGCTTATTATAACTAGTTCAGAAGGTCTCATGCCATGAACAATTATGAATTACATTTACCCACATCTTCTAGTTTAAATCAGATGTTTTGCATAATGCACAAGAAATAAAAAAGGATCATCCACTACATTAAAAGAAAATTCCTTCTGCTTAGTACTTAATTGTATACAAGATCCACATAGAAAAACTGATCTTACTGTATGGTTTAACCAGATCATCTTCAGCATCTGCATTACTCACAAGACACACCCTGCGTGAAATTTTTCCAACTGCAGGTAATATAGCCAACAAGGTCAGAAAGCCAAACTTATAAATACTTCGAAAAAGCATGTGGATTCTAATTTATAAATAGTTATATGCAACTAGTGGTCGGTGCTACGAAAATGCAACAACCATACTATCCATAGATGTTTAAAGTAAAATTGCAAGTGTGAAAGCATGAAAGAGAGAAATTAGTAGAAAAGGTTTTCACTAGTGTACGTGTGTGTGCACGTGTGTGAGCATGTAGGTGTGTGTGTACACATGCGCGTGCATGCATGTGCCCAGCATACGTGTGTGCGTGAGTGCATGCATGCGTGTGCCTGCATATGTGTGTGTGTGTGTGTGTGTGTGAAAATTATCTTAGTATAATTTCTAAAAGATTGGGCTGATACATTCAGAAAGACTCCACTTCCAACTGTTGCAGTTTGGGTCTGATTAAGGGAAAAATCAAATTTATCTTTCTTAATAAAATATAGTTCCCATTCTTTTATGGTCCTTGACAGCATCCTCGACACTCCCGAAAGAATCTTCATTTCAAATAGAGCAAATTAATCCACCAAAGAGCATTAAAACCAGATTGGTCTCGGGTCTAATTCCAAGTTTCCAACAATTATATTCTAATTCTATTCTTGTAGTTGATCAGTGCGCTCCCTCAATACTTTACTGCAGTGGTTTAAAAATCGGATCGGTGCCCCTGATCAGACACCCCAAAAACCCATCCGGATCGGTGAATCAGTGTTTTGGATTGGGAATTGGCCGGATCGGTTGGATTCGGCCTTTAAAAAAATCTGAAAAAATTATTAAAAATCATTATAAATGTCGTCTTTTAGGAATCCTAAGGAATAGGGATACTACATTAATAACTTTTATTTTTTTGCATCAATATGCGAATATTGAGATATTTTTTCCCTGTATGAACTATTGTTAAATATTAGATTTACATCAAACAAAAGGAGAATGATAGAATTATCATAGATGAAGTATATAATCATATATGGACTACAATAAAGATGATGTTCTTCATCTTGGGCACAATGGTGTCATTGACTGAATTCGCGTGACAATTCATTTACTCGATCTACGAACGAATCATCTAAATTAGTGGGCACCTAAGATTAATTCACAGTGTTCATTAATAAATTGTTTTAAAATTAATTTGTCAAAGAACCCTAAAATTTTAAAATATGTATTTGCATTAAATAATTGACAATAAAGTTGAACAATACAAGTTATTTTCACATGATAATTATGACTTGACAATCAATTGAATATTCAAAATTTAATTATAATAAACATGATTCAAGAATTTCTATATAACAACTTAATACAATTCGAAATTATATCAAAGTTTTATTGTTGTACAAAATAAGTTATGGTAATAATAACAAATTAACAGTAAGTTATTAATTAAGATTTGTAAAAACTATAAATATATTTAAAATTACAAGTTAGACTAAATATGAAAATAACGTAATATAATAATAATAATAATTTATAAAATCATTTAGCAATTTAATATATTAAATGACGTATTTTATATATATATATATATAGAGAGAGAGAGAGAGAGAGAGAGGAGAGAGGAGAGGAGGAGAGAGAGGAGCTA